AGATGCACTATATAAGAGCTCTCGCTTTTTTGATCTGAAAAAATGCATAGTCAAAAACTATAAAAAATCTGTTTTTCGCACTAATAAATGCAAAAATATGGTAGTTTCAGTGGTGAATATAAGTCTTTTTCATGGTGAAAGTTCTTCTAACATGATTAATTCCAACGTTCATATAATATCCTGTAAATCTATCTTCATATAATGTAATATTTATATTGTAATCCAACAGAACACCGAACAACTATGAGAATATTCTTTAACTTATTAATAAAGAAATATGCATATGTAGGTGTATCGTAGTATGTGATTATAGTTTCCATTTTTTTTTCAGTTAAACAATTGCTTTGCATGTATTCTAGTCTCATTGAAGACGTTTCATGTTATATGACGTTCAAGAAGTGCTAGGTACGGAAGACAGATATCCTAGTATGATATTTAAATACTAACATAATGTTCACTGCAAGGCAATTTTGTTCTCAAGAAAGTTGCATATAATTATATGTACAATCTATTCAAAAGTTACATTGAATCTGATGTATTGTAGTCGTCGATAGTTCGCTAAATTTGGAACTATATATCTTCCATTGTATAGATCGTAATACTCAATCACTATTAGAATCAATTCATCTGTAATGAGTGAAATATTGAAATGAGTATAGGTTAAACTAATGTACTTGATATATTTCATAATAGTAATATCTTAAAGATGAAAAATAGATGCTTAAAACAATTCAAAAGTTTCAGAATAACTATCACTGGATGTTCGACGACATTTTATCTTACCAACACCTACTGGATCAACGTGATGTTTACTTTGAATACCGTCTATCCAACTGGTTCTCTCTAGACATGCCCACCGTTTTTGTAATGTTCTTTTGAAAATAAAATCAATATCTGATGACTTCATATATAATGCTTCAATTGGTCGATTTGGTTCAAGATCACCTTTCATCACTTGATGATCGTTCGCTTGATGAGTAAATCTAAAAAACTCCTCAGCTGAAAGAAATGCTTGTTCAGTTGAACCTTGTAACAAGTAACGTGTTGCACAAGATTTTACAGCAGCGCCCACACCATCTACTGGACCCTTCCCATGAGACGTTGATGAGAAGGTCCAGGATGCTGCTATTCCGAAGTCCATCTGATGATACATAAGATTCAACATATTTTTAGAATTTTTGAAATGGACGCTAGCACCATCACTTAGATAATTCCTATAGAAAAAAAAACAAAAAGCAAATAGATGAATAATATATACTTTCGGTAGTTTTCTGTTTCTCTGTCGCTTCTTGTTAATCGTTTCTTTCTATTGCTGTTTCTCTTTTGTCAGACTAAATTATTCATTAACTGTTTCGAAAATCTTATCTTTCTGTACATATACTAGGATGTTTTCATGTAGTTTTATTTTGGGTGAAATTGAAGATGAGACTTTTTTCACATACATATAGTTACAAGGACTTTTTTGTTCAAGATTCATAAGTGATAGACTATAAACTGCGAATGAAAATAAAATATATTCTGGTTTTAGTCCTAGAAATAGTTTACTATAAATATGAGGATTTATATGCAGTTTATTGTTTTTGTAAAGACCAATTGTTGAAAAACAAGTAGTTTTGAAACTTAAATTTTCCGAAATTATAGGAAATAAAATAATGAATTTAAACAAGCATAGACTGATCAAAATAAAAATGAATGTTTCATTTAATGATATCATAGTTTGAACCTCACGACAATGAAAGAAAGAGGAAGCGCATTGTTATGTGCCAACATATTTGTTTATTGCCATCGGCTAAAAACACTTTCCTCAATTTAGTTTTTCAGACTTATATCTCTCCTGGTGAAAGTATTAAATATATGCTCTGATTATACAAAATTATAGTAGCATATATCCTACTTGAAAACTTTCCATCCGTTCCTAGAAAAACTCTAATAGTTACGACGTCTTCTACAACTTACAAGTGATGGACATTTGGATACCATTTTTTAATAAAATTGGTAATGAATACCTGAGCTTGATAAACAAATTCTGTTGTATGTTTCATATAATCAGATATAAAGACAAGATTACGATGACCTAAACCCATTTTAATATGCACCGTAAAAATAGTTACCTGCTTGTTATAATAATAGGATGATTGAACAGCTGATTGACAGAATAAACAAAAATTTTCAGCGAAATCAAGTTGTACAATCGCGGTTCCATGTTCTGATGATTTTAATTTGATTTGTTTTATATATTCACGTTGTTCAATCGTAACAAAATAATGAATCAAAAACTTGTTCCAAAGACAATCAAGCTTGTCAAGAAGTGTACTAATTGAAGTGGTATGATGTTGTAGTTCCGTTTTTTTTTCGTTTTTCTCCCATAAAACCCAAGTAATGTCGTCGTCTTCGTTTGTTCCATTTATTTGAAGTTGTTCAATAAAATAGATAGAAGGCATTTTAGTATTACATGTAGAATATTGTCGTAAAAAACAATCGACTGTTGAATTTTGACAGATCATCATTTCCACTAATGATGATCAAGTTAATCGAACATTGATTAATTGATTCAAGACATTCAGCAATAGCTCAGGATTTTGGTGATGTTCACATACACAACTCTATGTAGATGTAGAAAATACAATGAGTAACGTAGCTAGATCTGAAATACAATGCAAGTTACTTACATCATGTGGGGTTATCGTCTTAATCCACTTTGGTTTAATTGAACAAAATTTCGATTTTTCAACACGCATTGTTGAATTTTCTTGAATGAATATTTGATAAGCTTCTCTTAGAGTCATAATCATAAACCGAATAGGTTTTGGATTTTTATTATTTTGTAGAACTTCCTTTTTGTTCGGCGATGCCTAAAATATTTAAATGAATGTATTCATTATGAGTTCAACGAAAAACTTCTTGTTTTAATTTTTCTATACAATATGTATTACTCATAGATATTTTCCATCGATTCAAAAAACACTATTAGTAATAAACCATTGCGTTATGAACATTACATCATTTCATTATTTGCATCAAAATGCTTTATGAAAAATCATGTTTATTAAATTATAAAATAAACTAGAAATCTAGTTTTATTCAATAAAAGCAAACGTTATATTCCGATAATCTTAAAGAAACAATTTTCGCAGAAAAAGTATATATATTTTTTAAACGAAGATTGAAATATATGAGACTACATTATCTTACTGATTTCATCTGTATGATAAAAGTTGAAAACTGTTTGCTCAATAAATGGATCAAATGGAAGATTTCCACGGCAGTCGATTGGGTATGATAAAACTTGATCTGCATCTCGTAAATAAATACCATAACGAGCTTGATGATCTGTACATCCGAAAAACGTCGAAGTTTTTACGCGTCCCCAAGCTTTAGGAACTAATGTCAGTAATCTAATTTGTTCAGCATAATCACTCATATTCACAAGTAGTTGAAAATTAGTAACAAGTTCATTAGCATCGTTTATAGTTATATCTGATTTATTATTCGATTTTATTATTTCTTCTTTCTCTTGATTTTCTTTATATAATTCTTCGGCAGCTTTGCGGATTAAGATTATTCCAAGATTTACTTTTTGACGAAGAATATTCTGGTTTCTAATATCACGAACAGATGATAATCCAACTAATGAAAAAAACTTGTTCAAAAGTGCTAATGAATTTTCTCGATTAACAAGAAATTCAATATCCATTATTTCATCATCTGAAATATCCGATGATTCATTTCGATCGGATAGAAACATATCAAAAGCATTTAGAGTTGCTATATTAGATAGAGCAGTTGTTGCAGCAGTTCTTGTAGGTCGTGATTCATCTGTTTCCATAGCTGGTGGTGAATTAATAGAGATATACATTTCGTTAAATTTCTCCATCGATCGTTGATAACATGGAGTACACAACAGAGACCGAAAACGAGTCGAGTACTCGACAAATCGACTCGACTCGACTCGGCGTGAACCGAGTCGAGTCGAGCCCGAGTGCGAAGTTTGAGAAATGTGTCGAGTCGAGTCGAGTCCAGTCAGATCTACTGTCGAGTCGAGTCGAGTCGAATTTGACCCCAACGATTCGACTTTTTAAAAATTTCTTCATAATTCTTTCATTTGTTTCTCAATATTAGTCATCGTCATCGTTAGACGAGCCGAGATGAGACAATGTCAATTCATTTCAATGAATAGGTTGAACAAAGCATTAAAATGAATAGACAGCGATGAACTGATGACGCTAAATAAACTACAATGAATGATATACACTAGCTTTCATTGTATTCAATGCACTATTGACTGTTCAAAGATTAATTAGAATGCAATGGCTTGATTGATCGTCAGCCTATGTAAGTGATCGGCATGCGACGTGCAACAGATTTAGTAGTGTATTGCATTATTTCATTATCTATCGCAAAAAGATGATCAAAACAGAATGGATGTTTATATGATCAAATATTTGGTCATATTTAGAATATTGAAATCGATGAAATATGTTAACCATTCCATCCAATAGGACGGTTTCGAATAGTCTTGGAACATTTATGGGGAGAAGAAATCGGCCTGCAGTATTGCCGAAATCGCGCAAGAAAATGATTCAGAATTATTCGAGACGATAATTCCAAGCTCTGAAACCGAGTAGAAAACGTAGAAAATTTCTGTTTCTGACAGAGAACCTCCGAAAATCGATAGAAAATCGAAGCAGTACATCAAGTGGAGAGAGCGAAGGACTTTTTCGATGACTTCCGACCATCTTTGAGCGACAAAGACAGGATTTTAATGGGAAGACACAGAAAAAAAATCTGAGATCTCCAAGTCTCAAATACTACTTTCAAGAAATTGTCGCAATTTCCTGAAGCTGACGGTTTCCTTTTCGTGTGGTCCGACATGGATGTTTCAACACTATGATACAAGTGAAATGTATGTCTAAATTTCTTCTCATTCTTGATATTAAGAATGTACTTCTAAACATTCGATTTTGAATCGATACTCGGCGGCTCGACTCGACTCGAGCCGAGTCAGATGTTTTTTAGATGCATGTCGAGTCGAGCCGAGTCGATTGAATGGTTCAGTCGAGCCGAGTCGATTGAATGGTTCAGTCGAGTCGAGTCGAGTCGAGTTGAATTTTTTTGACTCGTTTCGGTCTCTGGTACACAAGTAATCATTTTCAGTAAACGAGAGTGAAGATATATTGGTCAAAAATGTTGCTAAGTTGTGATTAAGTCGAGGTTGACCTTTTGAAAAATTAGGTTTTTGTCCCATTTTTGTCTTGTCATCGTGTGCTAAAGAATTTGCGCACCAAATTGTAGGCATAATTTATTATCTAAATATATTCTACTTAAACAGAATCATCTTCATAGACTACTAAAGCAGAAACTTACCTTTTTTTCAAAATATATAATATATCACTGGGTGTTACTGACTGCAATCGATTCTACCCCTCAAACGTTAAAAATTGGGGAAAAAGACAATAGAACAAAAGATACACACAATATTTTATTCTCTATTTCACACGTGCACAATATTATATATATATTGCAGAAAAGAAAGGTGTTTTTTCACATCAATTGAAGCATATAATAGTGTTCGAAAAGCATCTAGCTTCAAGGCATTATCCAATATGGCTTATTTAGCATATTTATTCCATTTCCCTACCTTCTTCCACAAGGTCTTACAATCCACGCAAACATGATCAAAATTAATTTATAAATAATTATTATTCAAAAGAATCAATCATAGAATGATTACGCATCAGTAAAATTTTAACATTTGAACAATATTTCACTCATTACAGATGAATTGATTCTAATAGTGATTGAGTATTACGATCTATATAATGGAAGATATATAGTTCCAAATTTAGCGAACTATAGACGACTACAATACGTCAGATTCAATGTAACTTTCGAGTAGATTGTACATATAATTATATGCAACTTTCTTGAGAACAAAATTGCCTTGCAGTGAACATTATGTTAGTATTTAAATATCATACTAGGATATCTGTCTTCCGTACCTAGCACTTCTTGAACGTCATATAACATGAAACGCCTTCAATGAGACTAGAATACATGCAAAGCAATTGTTTAACTGAAAAAAAAACTGGAAACTATAATCACATACTACGATACACCTACATATGCATATTTCTTTAATAATAAGTTAAAGAATATTCTCATAGTTGTTCGGTGTTCTATTGGATTACAATATAAATATTACATCATATGAAGATAGATTTACAGGATATTATATGAACGTTGGAATTAATCATGTTAGAAGAACTTTCGCCGTGAAAAAAACTTATATTCACCACTAAAACTACCATATTTTCGCATTTATTAGTGCGAAAAACAGATTCTTTATAGTTTTTGACTTTGCATTTTTTCAGATCAAAAAAGCGAGAGCTCTTATATAGTGCATCT